AGGGTGATGCCCAGGTCACCAAACGCAGTTTTCCATGCTCTCAAGGACAGTACAATGCTTTACCCCCAAGAATGGGCGGGGGGGGGGGGGACTCACATTATTCACTGGGCAAAACTGACTCTGTCCCAACATTTGTCTGCAAGGAGACCAAACATTTCAGACTTGCCTTAGCTTACCATGATTTAGGTTTGTAAAGCCTGATTGGGTGGCCTGTCAAGACCCGATCGAGCGTAGGGAAACGGTGGCTAGGACTGCAACCACCACTGTTTTGAAATGGGAAAAGGCAGGGTTAGAAATAATATGAGGGCTTATCATGTGGTACAGCGAGATAGAACCTAAATATGACAGAAACATGCTTCTGTTGTTAGAGGCTGCTTTGTTTCGAGGACATGACGCCGTGGGATGTGCGTGTGCCTGTGCGCGTGTGCGTGTGTGCACGTGTGTGCATGCATGCATGTGTGTGTGCATGCGTGTGTCTGTGTGTGTATGTGTTTGCCTGTGCAGAACCATGATGATGTAGGGTGGGGGATGGGAGACCACACGTTTAGTCACATGGTGTCTTTAGGTAGGAAGGAGCCGCATTTCAGAAAGTGTTTACAGTGATCCAATATAATTATTTCACATGCGGTTGGGGGAGCCTGGTCATGTCACAATATCAACCAGAGTGATTATAGTGTTTTGTACTCGGGGCTAGCCATGGGGATCAAATCACAGGCTGCGTCAATAAACTGGGGAAGGCCACAAAGGTCCTTCTGCACAGGCGCACTTGCATGAGGCATGGCTCTCTGCCCTAGATAGATGGTATCTGTGTGCGTGGTGTAGCCAGGGCCATGGTACCTACTACAACTGCCGGGTACTGGGGACCTGCTCGTTCAGTTATGTCAGACTCCATTGTGTAGAAACTGCAGGGTGGCTCAAAGCATGTCCATGTGTGTGCGTCCGTGTTTCCATGTGCGTATCTCAGAAGGATAGCAAGGGTCTGGGTCTATAGGCTAACAGGGAGGGAAGGTACATGTGCAACAGATGGTGTTGGTTGTGGTTGTGGTGGAGGGGAGTCAGGGGGATGGGATGTCTATCAGTATCCAGGTTTTCTTTTTGAGCTGTGATCCACCAACCTTCTTACAGATTCAGTGTTGGTTTCTTATAAGGTTAAATCAGGAAACCTGAATGTGTTCACCTGTCCAATTTGCTTAGGAACTCTGAGCATGTTTCTAGACAGTTTTACCTTCGATTTCTTCCTATGTAAATCCGTCGGTCTTCTGTATGTCTTTAAAGATGCCTCTAGTTCTCATATCCCTTATTTCTCTCTCCCACTTATTCTTGCTTTCAAGTTAATGATAATTACAACATAGGTCATTTCACTGACCCTGAAATCTAGCCATGTATACTCTTTGGGATTATCCAATCTTCATTGGAACTCCTTTAAGAGGACATACTTTTATCCCCTTGCTAATGATATTTTTTAAATGGATATTAAATGATTTCTACCAGTGTCTTTCAACTATCAGGATACAAAAAATGGTAAAACTACACTCTGATCCACACTGTTTGAACTCTTCCCTTTCATCATGCAGTCAATCTTTATTGAGAGGCAAAGAGACAGAGCAGGTAGTAGGGAGGGTTGGTGCCGCCGTGAGGCTGACGGTCTGGTGAAGACATTAAACATGTCACATAAGTGAAGTGAGTGCTAGTGAAGGGTTCTCTCTGGCAGGAGAAGAAGATCGCAGACAGAGGAACCACACACGGCGCGTCTGTGGGAGAGAGAGGGAGAGGGAGAAATTAATAGAAGCAGAGACAGAGACAAAGACAGACGCTAATTTTTGCTCCATAGTGGGGTTTCTTTCACCCAGTGGTAGCCAGAAGTTACTCAGAAGACCAGAGGTTGCTAGGATAGGAGGAAGGGGAGGGGAAATAACACAGAACTTGAGTGAAACGCCTCCAGCACACGGGCAGTGCAAAGGGGGTAACAGTCTGTACCAGAACCCTAACTGCCAATTAGCAAAGAATGGAGGCAGGGTGGGAGGGAAGGAATGTTGGACTGGGGTGGACATAGGAATGAGGGGAGGGCCATCGACTCTCCAGTTGTGGAGGTGGGCTGTGTCTTTGTACATCAATACCAGAAACTTGTACAGTATTATAACTCCATCACCTCAATGACAATAAATAGATATTAATACAAAATTTAAACTAGGAGACTGGCTTACCCTAGATAACCCAGAAGCTACTGGGAATGGATCAAACAAAGTTGCATGGAGGCCCATTAACTCTCAGTGCAATGGCAACAGGGTATAGGGGTGGAGATGGGGGACAAGTCCATAATCTTTGGGGCTACCCAGGAGTTTAGGGCTCATCAGCCTTAGGGATGAACCAGAAGGGAAACAAAACTGTCTTCTATATTTTAGAAATTAGTTATTGAGTATTTTTAGATGATGGGCTGGGGCGGTAGTACCGCAGGTAGGGTGTTTGCCTTGCAGCCGACCTGTGTTCGATTCCTCCGCCCCTCTCCGAGAGTCCAACAAGCTACCGAGAATATCTTGCCCGCACGGCAAAGCCTGGCAAGCTACCCGTGATGTATTTGATATGCCTAAAACAGTAACAACAAGTCTCACAATTTGTTGTGAGATGTTACTGGTGCCTGCTCGAGCAAATCAATGAACAACGGGAGGACAGTGCTACAGTACAGTGCTATTTTAGACGATCTGGGTATTGTGCTAAACGGAAGCAATCAAATAAGAGGATGTGGTCCTCTTGACTTCTCCTCCCCTTCCCCTATTGTTGCTGTTGTTGTGAGGATGAGGCTCGCACACACTTGACTGTGCTGCCCATCAGGGCTTGCACATCTTTTTTTGAAACACTTGCCCAGACCAGGCTGTGATGGGCCAGAGATGGCACGGGATCTCTGGCCGCACCATGGGTCCCAGCCAGCAGGGCTTCCGAAACTGTGCTCTGAGCAATTGGGCAGCACCAGGGATTGAACTTGCAGCCTCACACTTGCAAGTCAGAACTTCGTTTTTGCTTGTGAGTCATCCTGGGGCCCCCAATCTTGATCTCACAAGGTTGCCATTCATTGTTTGAAATAATTCAAAATACCTAAGGATATCATCGCAACTAAGTGCTACAGAAAAGAACTAAAGTCGCTATAGAGTAACTCAGCAGAGTAGAGAGGAGGGCAGAACTTAGTAAAACCAGTGGGGAAATCTCTAGGAATTAATCTAGGAAAATCGGGTCTCACAAATAATAGGAACGTAATTCTCATTAGAGGGTGACAAGAACAACCTAAAATGAGCAGCCAATGGGCCTGCTAGAACCTCCCGCGAAGACTTTTTTATTTTTTTTGCTTTTTGGGTCACACCCAGCAATGCTCAGGGGTTACTCCTGGCTCTGCACTCAGGAATTACTCCTGGCGGTGCTTGGGGGACCATATGGGTTGCTGGGAATCGAACCCAGGTCGGCCCCATGCAAGGCAAACGCCCTACCCACTCTGCTATCGCCCCAGCCCCCCCGTGAAGACTTTTGGGGAGGTGGTAGCGTGGCCCTATTGAGGCTAGGTAGACCAGAGGACAGCAGGTATCAATAGCTCCTTTAACAGGGTAGAGAGATGAAAAGAGAAGTGGAATGCTCAGTTCTGGCGGATGGTTCCAGAAGGCAGGACCACCGGACACTGGGAGAGGAGAAAGAAGAAAAGCTCCACTCTGGCTGGCCTGCAAGTTATGGGTGCAGTGCCTCTCTATTCCTTTCTACATTCTTTATGGCACAGGAGATGAGGAATTCTGCACACTGCATGAAGTGCATGAAGGGGTGGGGGTGGGGGGGTCCAATTTGGAAAAGTCTTGAGAAGAGTTTTGCAAGACTAAAATGGAGAGAAGGTCAGTGAACTAATGAGGGTTCAGGGTTATTGGGTCTTCTTGAAGGGGGTGACCTTATACCCAGTCCTCTTTAGTCTTACTAAGTCTGGGCACTCCCTTGACTGCTACCCTACAGCTCAAAGAAAAACTTGTTCCGTTAGAGGCAGTGCCCTGCTAGATACTCTGGGAGATAGTCCAAGGCGGACCCTAAGGAAGGCAGCGTAGATGGTGTGTTGGCACCTTGGACAGTGGCCCCGGTGGCTGGACTGATGCTCCAAGCCCCCATGGATGGCTTAAGACGATGTCCTTTCAGACAGTGCTTCTCCAAGCTCTCGAATCCAGGGCGTGTCAGCAAATTGCAAGGGCCTGAGTCACTCCCTGTTGATGTCCAGGGAGTAGACAGGAGAGACAGGCTCTGACATAATCCAACTCTGAAAGTAATGACCGCTGACAGTATGTGGTCAGCCCGGGCAGCGGTATTGGGCACTTGTTAATCCCGCAGGAGGAATGGTCTTGGTCCCATGCAAGACAAGATGCCCTGCGTGGAAGAAAGGTCACCTGATACGTATCTGTTATGTAAATAAGTCATATGTTTTATAGTATCGATGGTTCATTTTGTTGTATCTATTATGTAAATACGTGATAAATTTTATAGCATCGATGGTTCATTTTGCTGAGTGCCTTTAGTCTCCGTGATTCAACACGGGACCAGAGGCCTGGCTCACTCTCTGGGAGCCCTGGACTGAACTGTCATCCGGACTGGGACAGTCTGCAGAAATGTCCTGCCGATTCTTGAAAAACTTCTTACCACTCTACTGACTGTGGTTTTCAACTATAGGTCCAAGGACCCGTGCTGGTCCAGTGGTATAAGAAGGTTGGAAACCGCTGCTTTCTAGCGTTTCCTTCTGATGGGTAAAAGCAGGAGAGGATGGAAACACATTGTCTTTTATTCCTGCCTAGGTTTCCTCCCAGATGGCGGCTGAGGAGGCCCAGCCCGGAGCCTTGACTCCCCACCCTGCCAAAGAGGAATTCAGTGCTGACCCAGAAGCAGTCTTGGGAAGCCACCCGACTCCTGAATGGGCACCGGAAACTCAAGAGAGCCAAGACCCCTCAGATCAGCAGACAGAAGGTGACAGCATCTGGGAGCACCAGCAGATGGGTTTAAAGCATGTGGCTGAGGATACAGCTGAGAGTCCGGTTCCTTTGTCCACGGAAACCACCGCAGACATGAACACCAACCCGGATGGCCCTGTGCCCAAGACCCCTGGCACTCACGGCCAGGCAGGCACACAGGCACCAGCTCCCCCAGAGGCCCACACCTGCCCCCTCCAAGCTGAACATCTCCTTGTGGCCCCAGGTCCCAGGGAAGCGGATAGTGAGGTGCCCGTGGGATTAACACCAGAACTCCCTCCTACGACGCTGGGCACTGGACACGAGGACGTGAGGGAGGAAGCATCTGTGGATCCCTGTGCCTGGACCAGCTCCTCGCAGGCCTGTGGAGAGCATCCCCCCGAAGCACGCCATCCAAGGGACCAGCTGGAGATAGAGGGGGAGTCGCAGAGTCAAGGGCAAGGAGGCCATGGGGGTCGCCCGGAACTGCAGGGACAGGGAGTCGAGGAAGAGAGGGAAGGAATGGCGGGAGAGGTTTGCCCCAGTGGCCTTTTAGGGGCGCAGCCAGGAGAGGTGCTGTGTGGCAGAGAGGGGAAACAGAGGCAGCAGAAGATGCTAGAAAATGGGAGGTTGGTAGAAGCAGGAGAAAGAGAGAGGCCTGAGGAGGGGGATTGGGAGGTCCCGGGTTATAGTGGGATTCAGGAGGGTGGGCAGAATGGGCTCCAGGATCGGAGAACTCTGCAGCAGGATGGTGAAAAGACAGATGTGAGGGGTCCAGAGAAAGACTGGGAGGATGAGTGGTCAGAGAAGGGAGCCGGAGAGCAGACCCAGAGGTCCGCAGAGGGGCAGGAGGCTGAGGCAGGGTGGCGCGAGGAGGGGCCCGGGGCTGGGGAGCCCCTGCAGGAAGTGGGGGGAGACGAAGGTAGTGAAGATGGGGAGCAAGATGGTCCTTCTCCACGGGCTCTGGTGGCCCCCGAACTCTCTCTGCTCGGTGAGGAGGCCTGTCTTCCCACTGCCAAAAGTCAGGGGGCCCAGCAGGAACCGAGGGCTGCGGAACTGTCCCCCAGACCTCAGTCTCTCGCCCAGCGGTCCGCGGGAGGCTCCCCCGAGCACATCCCCTCCGGGGGCCTTTCCCCTGCAGGACACTCAGCCAAGCAGGACCGAGCTCAGGATGGCCGGTTGATGGGATGTGAGTTGGAGCAAGGGCCAGTGTCAAGTCCTGGGGACAGGGACGTCTCTGCCACTCTCTCGGAGAGGCCCCCACAAATAGGAGCTGCTCCTGGTCTGGAGGACATCTCCCCCACCAGCCCCCCACTTGCAGCTTCCAGGAGGGAGCCCTCGCTGGACACCCCTCATCCAGAAACTTCCACAGCTCTTCTCTCACCTGTCAGCCCGTCTCCTGCTGGGGACCCCGAGACGCCCCCAGTCCTCCCCCGTGGCCCTTCGTCCTCCACAGTACACCCCTTGGACCCGGGCACCGGCCCCTACTGGACTCGCCCTAGGAGCCCCCTGGCCAACGGCTCTGATGCTCTTCACCCAAGGAGCAACTCATTCCCCGGTTCTCAGCGGCCCACGATGCCCCCAGACCTGGGGAGATCAGCCTTCTCCTCCTCCCATTCAGAGCTGCCACAGATGCCCCCCAGGTCTGCTTCCTATGGCCGGGGGACCCCTGAGATGGATGGGGAGAGGAGCCCTCGCGTCATTCCAGAACCTACCCCGGGGCAGCACGCACAAGACTGCACCCCGAATCCAGACAGCCAGCCACGGGGTGCCCCACACCATCCAGCCTCAGCCCCAGGGGCCCCGGCTTGTGTCTCTGTGGACGGGAGCACCTTGGGCCCCCCACCCGGCCGTGCCACGGAGGGGAGACCCCCGCACCCCGGCGGCCTCCCTACCCGGTCTCCGCAGCCTGCTCTGTTGACTCTGGGGCCCCCCAAAGTCCCACTTCCCCCAGTTCCTGATGCCCACGTGTCCCGGCAGCTGCGCCCACTGCCGTCCACCCCCGTCTCCGTCTCCCACCACCACCACGCCCAGAGATACAACAAGCCCCTGCCCCCGACTCCGACTCCGGACCCGACCCAACCTCACCCCGCGGGCAACCCCCGGACCTACAAGCCCCTGCCCCCGCTCCCCACTGCAGATCTCTCCTCCGAACCACCCCCCCTGCCCCCCAAGATGCGAGGCAGGAGCAAGAGCACGCAGGGGGTCCCCGCGCACACGGGAGCGCAGGGCGCGGCCAGGCCCGCGCAACACGAGTGGCCAGTCCCCACTGCCCCTGCCGCCGTCACCGTTGCTGCTGGACGGACCTCCTGGCCACCCGCCACCAGCCGACCTGCCGATGCCCTGACCGCGTCCGCTCGGACTAGGAGCAAAGGGGCCCCCGGGTTGGCGTTCAGCAACATGACGAACGTCCTGAGACCCTCTTCGTCCACCACCACCACGGCGGGGACCCCGGGGCAGCCGGTCCCGAGGCCTGGCCTGGGGCCCTTCACTCTGAGCAAACCTGTGATACAGGAAGATGCCAACGGCCTGCGGACCTCGCAGGATGGCTCAGCCAGGCGTCTGGGAAGGGCCGGCCACCCGCACCTGGAGAAGGCGTCCAGCTGGCCGCACCGGCGGGAGCCCGGGAGGGCCGCGGAGGACAGCGCTGGACAGGCCACCGCGCCTGCAGAGGGCACGAGCAAGCACAAAGGCTGGAACCGGCAGGGCCTGCGCCGACCGTCCATCCTGCCCGAGGGCACTGCAGGTAGGTGCGGAGTCGACCCTGCTCTCACCAGCCCTGCTACCTCATCTCCCCTTCCTTCCCTGTGTGCAGTGCAGAAGCCAGAAGAGCCGCTGAGCTCAGGTCACTGCTCCCTACTCTCCACCTCTAGCTCCCGGTAGATTTCCTTCTCTTCCTCCTTTTTATTTATTTATTTGTTCATTTATATTTCATTATTTGGTCACACCTGGCAGTGCTCAGGGCTTGCTCCTGGCTCTGTGCTCAGAGATCACACCTGATGGTGCTCAGGGGACCATCCAGGGGGCCAGAGATGGAACGAGGTCAGAGTTGAGCAAGTCTTTCTTGACTCGCCAGAATGTCATCATTTGAGGTCTGGTGACAGAAAGGAAGGGAACGCAGCCACTTTGAGGGCCCTGTTCACCCCTACCTGAGAGTGTTCATCTTTTCCACAAAGTGGCTGCGTTCCCTTCCTTTCTGTCACCAGACCTCAAATGATGACATCCTGGCGAGTCAAGAAAGACTCTTCTTGGGGCTGGAGTGATAGTACAGCGGGTTGAGCATTTACCTTGCATATGGCCGACCCGGGTTCGATTCCCAGCATGCCTTATGGTCCTTCGAGCACCACCAGGAGTGATTCCTGAGTGCAGAGCAAGGAGAGACCCCTGAGCATCACCAGGTGTGACCCAGAAAGCAAAAAAAAAAAAAGACTCTTCTTATTTCCTTCCACACTCTCACGATCTGCCCTACTCTTCCTTCCCCTCAGCAGGACCCTCTGTCAACCCCCGCTATGGGTCTTGCCAGCCTGTCCTCTGAATTCTCTTATTTCCTATGTGTCCCTCACAGATACGAGAGGTCTGGCCATGGAAAAATTCCCTGGTTCTTCCGACGCCATTGTTTATCGGTGAGTCGTCCTCCTTGCCCAGAGACCCCTCGGTACTATCCTTTCTTAGCATACTGAGATATCTGGTCCTTGACAAGCCTCATGGAACCCAGAGTGACTCATGTCTGTCTCTTCCAGGGGTGGGGATGAGGAGAGACAGAGACCAGGTAAAAGACCTCCTGGTCCCTGCACCCTCTGCCTTCCACCCGGTCTCCCCACCCCCCACGCCCAGACCCCTTCACCCGGGCTTAGATACAGGAAGCCTTTACCCCCGACTCCGGACACACCCTAGCCTCACCCTTAGAGCCAGGGTCTTCAGACAGTGCCCCTCCTAGAGGGTCGAGTGGAGGGTATAAGCCTCTACTCTTCCTTCCCATCATGGATCTTTCCTCAGAACCACCCTTTTTGCCCCCAAAGATGAGGGGCAGATCTTTTTGTTTGTTTGTTTGTTTTTGCTTTTTGTGTCACATCCAGCGATGGACAGGGGTCACTCCTGCCTCTGCACTCAGCAATTCCCCCTGGCGGTGCTCAGGGGACCCTATGGGATGCTGGGAATCGAACCTGGGTCGGCCACATGCAAGGCAAACACCCTACCCGCTGTGCTATTGCTCCAGCCCCAGGGGCAGATCTTTTATCTCCCTGGTTCTGTCCACTGAGCCCGAACCTCCTATCCTTCGAGACCCTTTTTTGCTATGAACCAATCCCACCCACTCTGAGTCCCACATGACTTTTCCCAGCACTCCCAAGTGGGTCAGATCTGGTGGCCGGAGTGATAGCACAGTAGGTAGGGCATTTGCCTTGCATGCGGCCAACCCAGGTTCAATTCCCAGCATCCCATAGGTTCCCGGAAGCACCGCCAGGAGTAATTCCTGAGTGCAGAGCCAGGAGTAACCCCTGTGCATTGCCAGGTGTGAACCCCCCCCCCAAAAAAAAAAAAAACAAGGAATCAGATCACGGCGTGCCTGCTCAGGGCACTTGGTCTTGACATTCCAGTTCATGTCCCAGAGGTCAGAGACATTCACCTGCTGTCAGCCGCCTGCTTCCCCAGGCAAAGATCCAGCAATGAGCCCTTCTCTTCTCCGCAGGGAGAAAAAACCCAAGGACGTGAAGGGAGGCTTCGCGAGACGCTGCTCCAAGCTCATCAACTCCTGTGAGTACTTGGGGATGGAGCAGGTGGCCCACCTGGGTGGCCGGTCCAGTAAGGGCAACTGCTGCCCATGGTGGGAGGCTGGGGACGGCTCTTGGGAGAGACACTCGCCTGCAGAGCGTCTGGGCAGCTTCCGCCCCGTGTGCCCCTGCGTGGCCCATCTGCCCTTCCCCCACCTGCCACGTGTCTTGTGCCCCATCAGCCCAGCTGCTGTACCAGGAATACAGCGACGTGGTCCTCAACAAGCAGATTCAGAGCCAGCAGCGGCTGGACAGCATCGCGGAAGAGCCCGGGCCGGACAGCCCCCGGCAGCCACAGCGGCCCCTGGCATCCCCCGAGCTGTCCGTGCAGCGCCTGTCCATGGTGTCCAGTGCTTCCCTCTGGCAGGAGATCCCCGTGGTGCGCAACAGCACGGTCCTGCTCTCCATGACCCATGAGGACCAAAAGCTCCAAGAGGTACCAGTGGCGGGTGTGGGGCGGCTGTGGTGAGCCGGTAGTGGCTGGGGCTAGGAGTCGGGCTTCCTCACTCAACACCCTCCCGGCTGACCATCCTCACCACCCATGCATGGGCATGCCAGGTGCCCGTGGGTCCCCTCCACACTGCTGCTGGGAGCGGCTGTCCTGTGTCACTGTTCTCCTTCCTCAGTGCTCCTTTATGCTGGTGTTTTCCCCCCAAGTTGTTGGTCTGGGAACAGGTGAAAAGAGAATTGGGTGGGTCTAGATTGAAGCTTGTCACTGCTGCTCCCAGGGATGTAGGCCTCACTCACAGCTTCCTCTTTGTGTGGTAAGGTCCATGCAGAAGCTCCTGGTGGGGCTCTGGACGTGCATCCCCACCCAGTGTCCTGGGGTATGTCGATCTCATCGATGCTTCGGAATAATGTACATCAGTCTCCAATTGGTCCTAGTTCCCAAGAGCAAAACTTAGTAGAGGCTGTTTGATGTTAAGTTAGGACCATTCACAGCTTTTCCTAGGAATAAAATTGGAAGCTGGGTTGGGATAGTTTTTCCCAGGGAGTCAGTGTGGCACCGTGTAAAGACATCGTGTAGTCCTGCTGAACAAGTTAAATTCCAGAGCAGCCTCCGTTTCCACGGGGCAGGATCCCCAGTTCAATATTTACTGACTGTTTAACTTTGACCACCTGCTGTGATCTTTCCCAGGTGGGGAAAATGGGTGGAGAGAGTGACTAAGAAGGGTAACACTGTAGCACTGTCCTCCTGTTGTGCACCGATTTGCTCTAGCGGGCACCAGTAACATCTCCATTGTGAGACTTGTTGTTACTGTGTTTGGCATATCGAATACACCACAGGGAGCTGGCCAGGCTCTGCTGTGTGGGTGGGATACTCTCGGTAGCTTGCCGGGCTCTCCGAGAGGGACAGAAGAATCGAACCTGGGTCAGCCCGCGTGCAAGGCAAACGCCCTACCCACTGTGCCATTGCTCCAGCCCTTGATAACCTAAGAAGGGTACGTAGTAGGACGGTGGCCTTGGAAGTCGGAATCCACTAAGGAGTGTGTAACAAGTCACTTGCCGAATCAGCTAGCCCTGAAAATGGATGGCGCTGGAGTGTCGGGCCCATCCGGCTGTCGCTGGTGGTCAGTGACTTGTGAGAGGGGGATGGGAACGTCTCAAGTACGGGGCTCGCCCGGGAAAAACCCCGCGGTGAGCCTTGAAGCCTAGGGCGTGGGCCCGGGTGGAGCCGTCGCAGGTGCAGGTGCAGATTATTAAATACCAGCAATGTACCTTTTTAGGGTGCAGACAAATGTCTGACTTAGGTTTCAAGTTTGGTTAACTAGAGTTTGGAGCTGAGCTTCACCATTCAATAGCTGTATTTCTTACTCAAGTTGTTAAAACTTCATTGAATTTCAGTTCCCTCGTCTAAAAATGAGAATAAAAAAATAAAAATGAGAATAAATTTCAAACAGGGTTGTTGTGTAGTTTTCAAGGAACTAAATCTTCCTGCCTTTAACCTGATGTCTGATGTAGTTTTATTAAGATTTATGCCCTTTTTTTTCTTTTTTTTTTCTTTTTTGGTTACACCTGGCGATGCACAGGGGTTACTCCTGGCTCTGCACTCAGGAATTACCCCTGGCGACCACAGGGGATGCTGGGAATCGAACCTGGGTTGGTCGTGTGCAAAGCAAACACCCTACCCGCTGTGCTATCGCTCCAGCCCCATATGCCCTACTTTTTTTTTCTTTTTTTTTTTTAATTAGTGAAACACCATGAGGTACAGTTGTAGATTTACAATTTTTTGTGCTTGGGTTTCGATTATACAATGATCAGATACCCATCCCTCCACCAGTGCCCATTTTCCACCACCATGGATAATATCCCCCCTACCCCCATCCCCCCCCACCCCCCCACCCCCCGCCTCTGTGGCAGGGCAATCCCCTGTGTTCTCTCTCTCCTTTTGGGTGTTGTGGTCTGCAAAAGAGTATGCCCTACTTTTAAGATGAGGAGCAGTAAAAATTTGACCAATAGGACTTAAGGCGCAGATATTAATTTTCTATTTACTGGGGCCAAAAAGAGGCAGTTTAGCTTTTCTTGGTCTTTTCGAAAGCTAAGGTCTAAGTGTTCTGTTACAACCTTAGCATTTAGATCGGGATATTTTTTAAAATCACTGATCAGGGCCAATGAAATAGTGCATTAAGATGTATGCAGAGCAATGACAATGATTTGATCCCCAGAACTATATATGTGCCCCAGGCACTGCCAGGAGTAATCACCGAGCACAGAGCCAAGAGTAACCCATGAGCACCACTGGGTATAAGCCCCCCCACCAAACACAAAATACAAACAAAACATCACTAATCCATCCCTTTCTGATAGCCCAAAGAGTCAGGAGAGGACACAAAGACCAGCTCTCTCTCCTGGACCCCACAGTAGGCAGGACTGGCAACACGAACCCCAGCCCTGGCCTCTTATACCTCTTATATACATGATTACCTACTGCCTTTTCCTAAAGTAGCCCTTCTGGGGCTGAAGGGCACTTGAGACTTCTTTCTTTTTTTTTTTTTATTTTTTTAATTTTTATTTGTGAAACACCATGAGGTACAGTTGTAGACTTACAAATGTTTGTGCTTGGGTTTCAATTATACAATGTTCGAGTACCCATCCCTCCACCAGTGCCCATTTTCCACCACCTCTGATCCCAGTATCCCTCCCACCCACCTTCCCCCCCATCCACCCTGCCTCTGTGACGGGGGTATTCCCTTTTGTTCTCTCTCTCCTTTTGGGTGCTGTAGTTTGCAAAAGAGGCATTGAGTGGCAATCATGTTCAGTCTATAGTCTACTTTCAGCATGCTTCTCCCATCCTGGGAGGATCCTCCCAACACCCTTTATTTGGTGCTCCCTTCTCTATCTGAGCTGCCTTTTCCCCTAGCATGTATGGCTGGCCTCCAAGCCATAGAGTGAACCTCCTGGTACTTATCTCGGCTATTCTTGGATGTTAGTCTCCTATTTTGTTACTTTATGTTTCCCAGATGAATGCAGTCTTTCTAAGTCTGTTCCTCTCGTTCTGACAGACTTCTTTCTTTTGATAATCACACCATCTTTGTAAAGAGTATCTCAATACCTACAGAAAAAGAGAAGAAATCAGGTTCAGGAGGGCTCCATAAGCCACCTAATATCATGGAGTGGGTGGGTGTTTGTCCAAAGACACGGATCATGATTCATTGTTGCAACATGTGAGGGTCATTTGGCAATGTTATGAGTGATCTGTGTACACATATATGCATGCATGCATGTGTGCGTGCGTGTGTGGGGTGTGTGTGTGTGTGGGGGGGGGTGTTCTATCCAGGCGTCTCTCTTGAAGCCATGTGCTTTGATGAAGAGCTAACCTAGCCAATCTAGAGGCAGGGCTCAGGCTTAACATGGCCCCTGCCACCGTCTCTACGTGGTGTTCTCAAGTGCTGTGTAACTTTCAAGTGCTGTGTAACTTCCGTAGAGCTACAACAGCACCCTCTCCTCAAATATCCTGCTTCTTTGCAGTTCCCTTTGTATCCATCACCTTCATTCCCTAAAGCTGTGTCTCTTCCAAAGGGCACCAGTCCAGTGAAAGACTCCATCCCTTACCCAACCACCCAGGTGTCAATGGGGTCTTCACTGTGACTTCCGCATGGCCAGTGCCACCACCAACCCTCCTATCCCCACCCCTGTTTGTCTAGTCAAGTGGTTGCTTCCAAACCAAGCTCTATTAGGAAATAGGCTTTTCTTTTATCCGAACTTCCTAGGATTGTTTCCTAACCAGGCTGTCTTCTGTTTTCCCAGTGCTTGTCCATGCTGTGTTTTGAATATCTTTATGGAGGGGTGGGGCGGGGACCTACCTCTGATCAAGGGGTTAGAGCAATAACACAGCAGGTAGGGCATTTGCCTTGCATGCAGCCAACCCAGGTTCGATTCTTCCACCCCTCTCAGAGAGCCTGGCAAGCTACCAAGAGTATTTCACTCACAGAGCCTGGCAAGCTACCTGTGACGTATTCAATATGCCAAAAATAGTAACAACAAGTCTCGCAGTTTGTCGTGAGACGTTACTGGTGCCCGCTCGAGCAAATCGATGAACCACGGGAGGACAGTGCTACAGTGCTACCTCTGATCAAATTATTCCCCTCCAGAGAGCCTTCTGTCTTCCCAGGAATCCAAAGTCCTTTGCATGATTCCCATAATCCCCCAGACCTCCTCTCTGTCTCTGCCTCCCAGCATCACCCCTGCTGCTCTTTTAGCACAGCGGGTAGGGCGTCTGCCTTGCACGCAGCCAACATGGCCGACCCGAGTTCGATTCCTCCGCCCCTCTGGGAGAGCCCGGCAAGCTACCGAGAGTATTCGATATGCCAGACACAGTAACAACAAAGTCTCCAATGGAGACGTTACTGGGCCCGCTCGAGAAAATCGACGATCAACGGGAGGGCCTTTACTTACTTACTTAACCTTATCTTGCCTTTTGGGAAAAAGTACAGCTTTGATTAGGACTTTAATATTTGAGACCTTATCTAATAGGGTCGCTGGAGCGATAGCACAAGGGTAGGGCATTTGCCTTGCGCACGGCCTGCCTTGCTGACCCGAGTTCGATTCCTCCGCCCCTCTCGGAGAGCCCGGCAAGCTACCGAGAGTATTCGATATGCCAGACACAGTAACAACAAAGTCTCCAATGGAGACGTTCCTGGGCCCGCTCGAGCAAATCGACGATCAACGGGAGGGCCTTTACTTTACTTTACTTTACTCTTGTTTCCCAGTCTGATCAGTGCATTTCAGAGACTTGGAAGCGTCTTTTGCTTTCACAGTTGAGAAGACTTGCACTTGTGTTCACCTTTCAGATGCTTCTCCAGCCTCAGCTTAGGACAGTGGGCTGTACAACCATCTCTCTTGATTGCCCCTCCTCCCCTAATGCCTAACACAGTATCTCGGGCTCGCCTGGGACTCTATAAATATGTTAAATTAGTTTTTCTCCTCCCCCATCCTCTAGGCCAAGTTTGAATTGATCGTCTCTGAGGCCTCCTACCTGCGCAGTCTGCACATCGCCGTGGACCACTTCCAGCTCTCGGCCCTGCTGCGGGCCACCCTCTCCAACCAGGACCACCAGTGGCTCTTCTCCCGCTTACAGGATGTGCGTGATGTCAGCACCACGTAAGACACCCTGTCGCCCCAAGTACTGCTTGCTGCCTTTACCCTGCAGGGCTTTCTTGGGTTCTCCTCTCATTGCCCTCTGCAGGACTGCCAAGGGCTGTAGGGACCGAGAGGAGAGAGATCAGGAAGTTGGGAGATGTGGGTGGATAGATTCATTCATGGGCTGTAGCACTGTAGCACTGTCCTCCCATTGTTCATCGATTTGTTCAAGCGGGCACCAGTAATATCTCCATTGTGAGATTTGTTGTTACTGTTTTTGGTATATCGAATATGTCACAGGGAGCTTGCCAGGTTTTGCCGTGCCGGTGGGATACTCTTGATAGCTTGCCAAGCTCTCTGAGAGGGGCGGAGGAATCGAACCTGGTTTGACCACATGCAAGGCAAATGCCCTACCCACTGTACTATCGCTCCAGTCCATTCATGGGCTATGGCCCAAGAAATGCATCTTGGCTTGTGGGTTTGGATGCACAGCCTTTGGGCAGCTCCTAAAGCTCAAAAGACTGAAGCAGGAAGAGACTGGAGTGATAGCACAGTGGGTAGGGTGTTTGCCTTGCATCCAGCCAACCCAGGTTCGATTCCCAGCATCCCAGATGGTCCCCTGAGTACCACCAGAAGTAATTCCTGAGTGCGAAAGCCAGAAGTAACCCTTGTAGCACCAGAGGGTTAGATCCTGGCCCTACTCGGGCCGGCCTTGAAGTAGACTCAGGTATGGAGCCAGTGGTGGAGTCGAGGTCAGTGTGTGGGAGTTACAGTAGGCTTGCAGATGGGGATCGAGGTCAGCCCACTGTGCAACAGAGACCCGCAGTTCTCACAAGATCCAATACTGTCCAGGTTCCTTTCAGACCTGGAAGAAAACTTCGAGAACAACATCTTCACCTTCCAAGTCTGCGATGTCGTCCTGAACCACGCTCCCAACTTCCGCCGGGTCTACCTGCCCTACGTCACCAACCAGACCTACCAGGAGCGCACCTTCCAAAACCTCTTGTGAGACTTGAGCCCCGTTCACTGCTCACGTGGGCCCTTCCCTCCCCCGACCCAGCGGCCTGGCCCCACAGCTCATGGGGTGTCCGTGTGCTCTGTAGTCTAAGCTTTGGCCTGCCTCCAGAGGTGATGCCCATCTGGGCCTCTTCCTTCCCATCAAGCCCTCAGACACTTCCCCAGCCACCCAGGCCTTCTTTATGCCCAAGAGTGCCCTGGCCCCTCCTCACCCAGTTCACTCTCCACACAGGAACAGCAACAGCAGTTTCCGAGAGGTCTTGGAGAAGCTGGAGAGTGACCCCGTGTGCCAGCGCCTTTCGCTCAAGTCCTTCCTGATTCTTCCCTTCCAGCGCATCACACGTCTAAAACTGCTGCTCCAGGTATAGAAGAACCCCCCCCCCAACACACACACCCCCAGCTGCTCTCTCTTTGCCCCAAGGGATGCTCTTAGAAAACCCCAAGCCCAGGACTGCCCCGTTTCCTGCTTCTCTCCCACATCCGGTGGCTGATGTCGAGTCACTCTCAGTCTCCCTGTCTTGCTGTGAAAATGGATTAGCCACGGGCCCATCCCAAGCCACACTTCCTGTCTCCCCACCCCTTCTTTTCCTCTGGTTCCTGTTTATTCCGTAGAACATTCTGAAGAGAACACAGCCGGGCTCCTCAGAGGAAGCAGAGGCCACCAAGGCACATCATGCCCTGGAGGAGGTAGGCAACACCCCCTCCCCCAACCCCTTTCTGACCTTCTCTGGTTCTTTCCAGAGAATTCTCCTCCCATGTAGGCCAGGAAACACAAGACTCCTGCCCCCTCAACACAACCACCCAGCCTCCAACTATGCGCCCGTCACACTCCATGCCAAGGCCCTGAGCTCCCTATCATAACCCTCCCCCAGATAAAAATCTTACTTTCCCTCAACACAGAAGGTTCTGTCAGCTCATGCCAAAAGAGATCTGCATGGGATGTTGTCTTTGCTCTACTGCAGTCCAAAGAGCAAGGCTGTCACAAAGCCAATGACCTCTCACGCCGTGCTCCCTCTCTTTCCTCACCCTGCTCACAGCTGATCCGAGACTGCAACGAGAACGTCCGGAAAATGCGTCGAACCGAGGAATTGATCTACCTGAGCCAGAAGATTGAGTTTGAGTGCAAAGTGAGTCCTCTCCTGTGTCCCGACCCTGCCATACAGGGAACCCACCATCACCTTCTCACACAGAGCCATCCTGTCCACCCCCCACCCTCGTCTCTCCTGACTGATCTCTGCATGCCTTCAGTTCTGTCCGTTAGCGGGGTGACCCAAGTGAGGATTTCAGTATCCCCAATACATAATGAAGTCAAAGAGGGAAGACGCAGATCCATCTAGAATAGACTGTCAGATGGAAAAGCCAGGAGGCTGCATATGTTTGCTTATGTTTTTCTGCATAAAGAAACTTGGAAGGGGACGTAAGATGCAAAGGTTGAGAGAGAAAGAGTGTATGTGTGCTCTCAAGAACTGGACAGATGAGGGGGAACTTCTACTGTAAGCCACTAAAGATTTATTTTTGGCATTTGAGCCTTTCAGTGTTATATTACGTGTCTGTGTAATCCAAGCAAAGCATTGCAAAATCAACTCTCTATATAGGACCAAAGTCTCACGTCTAAATGCATGTCCACAAGAGACATTGTACATTAGAACTCCAGCCCGGAGCAGATATCATCCTTACTGCTCAAGAAAAAAGAGAGTTCCTTGCTTGTGTATTAATCACAGTTCATTATTCTTTGTTTTTTTTTACATCAGTTTCAGCTCCAAGCAGACGCTAACATTTTCATGCCCATTGGCACATTTGTCCAATTGTTCCTCTCATCTCTTTTTTTTACAACGAGAGAAGGGAAAGATGGCAGAACAGCAGAACAGCTCTCACTCTTCCATCTCAGACACTCAACCCATTCCCCGGCCTGTCCCTTCATGAGCCCCATCTGAGTTCTTCCACCTCTGCGTGTTGGTCTTTTCAAGCTGAGCTGCTCATCGAATCCCATCTTAGTTTGGACCCCGGGCACCTTCTACTTGCCTCATCTACCAGCCTTGCAGCTGTGAAACAGTAGACAGTGACAGTTAGGGATTCGGAGGGATGGCGTTTTAGGGGGTTGGATCCTGGGCAAGAAGGAAAGTGAGGAAGGCACAATAGTCAATGGGAAATTAGAGAGGGAGAGGTATGACCTGACAGGAAATGTTCTACTTGTCCTGCCTGAGCTGCCACCTGCTCACTCTCCCCCTCAACCCTGTAGATATTCCCACTCATCTCCCAGTCCCGCTGGCTGGTGAAAAGTGGCGAGTTGACGGCCTTGGAGTTCAGCGTGAACCCGGGGATGCGAAGGAAGCTGAACACTCGTCCTGTGTACCTGCACCTCTTCAATGACTGTCTGTTGCTGTCTCGCCCCCGAGAGTGAGTGCCTGGAATGGGGGACTAGAACCCAAGAGGGAAGACAAGGGAGGAGGCAAGAGGGAAGGATTGACAGACAGAGAAGGGTATTTTTCTAGGGCATCCCTAGGGAAACCCTATTTAATGGTTCAACCCAATGGAGTCTAGCTCTTGGTTTTGAAAAGTAAGGAAAGAAAGAGAAAAAGTCCAGTGCAAAAAAGGGGGACACCAACAAAAGCTGTCACACGAGAACATGGCAGGACCCTAGTATAGATAGGTAGCACTGTAGCACTGTCCTCCCGTTGTTCATCAGTTTGCTTGAGCAGGCACCAGTAACATGTCCATTGTGAGACTTGTTACTATTTCTGGCATTTCGAATACGCCACGGGTAGCTTTCCAGGCTCTGCCATGTGGGCGGGATACTCTTGGTAGCTTACTGGGCTCTCTGAGAGGGACAGAGGAATCAAACCTGGGTCGGCCGCATGCAAGATTAGCGCCCTACCCACTGTGCTATTCCTCCAGCCCAGTATAGATAGATAGATAGATAGATAGATAGATAGATAGATAGATACAGGACAGAATGCAGCAAATCACTCTAGCACGTTCTCAGATTCATGTATCTGTGGTTTCTTCGGGATAGGCTTAAAACAAGGGAGAGACAATTCCAGAGCCTCGTTCTTTGGTCCCAGCATAAAATCAACACAGTTCTGCCTCTTCAACTCCTGAACATGATGAAACTCCATTTACACGAGATGTGTGATTTATCAGGATGCCTGGGGATTCTGGGATTTTCATACTGGGAACAAGTTCACTCTGTCTTGTGTTTTTTTGGGGGAGAATTTGTCCAGCTTTAGATACAAAGGCTGGGGATTTTGAAGGAAAAGATAGGAGGGTGGGTGAAGTTTGAAAACTGTAGTTCATACCAAAAAACTTTGTATTTGCAGGGGCGGCCGGTTCCTGGTATTTGACCACGCTTCCTTCTCCTCCTACCGGGGAGAAAAGTGTGAAATGAAGTTACATGGACAACACAAAAACCTCTTCCGGCTCTTCCTGCGGCATAATACTCAGGGCGCCCAGGCTGAATTCCTCTTCAGCACCGAGACTCAGTGAGATGGGGCCAACCCCAGAGGAGTTGGGTGGGGGACGTTGAGGGAGGACTCGGGAAGGAAATTAGACCAAGGCAGGACATCTATTCAGAAGAGTATCATAGAGCCCCTCCAAAATTAGGCAACTGGGGTTCATCAAAACAGTAACTCAAACCCAAACTTGCAGGGCTAATAAATAGCTTGAGGATAAAGGTCTGGGTGGAGTGATAAGGTTACTCTGAAGACTTAGTCTCGGTTCTGTAGGCTGCACTCAAGAAGGACAATTGTCTGTGAGGTAGAAGAAAACCCGTGGGCAGAAAAACACTGGTTCTCAAAGTTGATCGCACATCAGAATCACTGGAAGAGCCTTTAAAACGCTGATGCTTAAGGCCCATCCTCAGAAATTTTCTGATATAGTTGCCCTGGTGTGGTCCAGTCTTCGTCCATGTTATTAGGAATATTGGAATTTATTGGGCTAGAGTGATAGCACAGCGGATAGGGCATTTGCCTTGCTTGAGGCCGACCCTCCATCCCTCTTGAAGAGACCGGCAAGCACCAAGAGTATCCCGCCCGCACAGCAGAGCCTGGAGAGCTCCGCATGGCATATTTGCTGTGCCAAAAACAGTAACAACAAGTCTCACATGTAGCCTTTACGAGTGCCCACTCCAGCAAATCTATGAACAACGGGAGGACAGTGCTACAGTGGAATTTATTAGAATTTTTCCAAGTCCTCCAGTTGATTCATATATGAACGTTTGAACACTGGGTAATAGAGAGTAACAAAAGAATTGGATTACTGACATTCCCTAGCATGTGCCTATGTGCAGAAACCAGCCACACCTCAGTGCCTGCAGCTGATGGGATGGCAAGGGAATCTCCCACACGCTCAGGTACTTCTCACAAGACTCGATCCATTCCACCTTCGAACTCAGCCCTCTGCTGAGCAGAAATCCTTAGTGTTGAGAACTTCAACCTGCTCCTCTGTTGAATAGTAACACAAACTACTCATCCCCTTAGAGATTTTGAAGAGGATTTTAAGACCTGGTTGGCAGTGATTATCCTACCAGACAGCTACAAGACTGCAGCTAATATTGCTACTGTCCAAGAGCATAGAAATCTCTTCTTTAAAAAGCCTGACATGTGCCAATCATCAGGAAGATCTGAGCGTTTCTAAGGACAGTTGAGGTTCCTCATGTGTTAGCATCTTTGTGTTTTGTGCCTTAGAAGAGACTTCGGGCTGGATAGGTAATGCCTGTTCCCACCCATGGAACTAAGGTTCTGACAAAAGGCATGTGTGTGAGACATTGTCTGAGTCTCAGAATCAGATGCAGGTTCATGTTCTTGTTTTAGCACTTTGGGAAGCCTCTTTCTGGAGCAGTAAAAGGGTCAATTCTCAATGATTTGGAGTGTTCAGAAGCGAAGGGAAATATAATAGGAAAGAAAGAACAACCTTCAGATAGTTACAAAATTAGGGTTGGGCTAACACGACCCCCACCCACCCCGAAAAATGTTATTTGATTTATCTCCTACATCTAATTATAATTACAGAGAATCAGGGCTGGAGCGATAGCACAGCGTTCGCCTTACAAGCGGCCAACATGGCCGACCTGAGTTCGATTCCTCCGCCCCTCTCGGAGAGCCCGGCAAGCTACCGAGAGTATTCGATATGCCAGACACAGTAACAACAAAGTCTCCAATGGAGACGTTACTGGGCCCGCTCGAGCAAATCGACGATCAACGGGAGGGCCTTTACCTTTACCTTTACCATTTCCATCTCTGAGATATTTGATTGAAGGGAGGTGTGCAGAAGAGTATTAATAATCATGCAAAGTGAGGGAAGGAATGTAAAGGTGAATTTTTGCTTAGTACACTCGCCCAGTGGGTAGTGCGTTTGCCTTGCACGTGGTTGACCCAGCCAACCGGGGTTCGATTCCTCCGCCCCTCTCAGAGAGCCTGGCAAGCTACTGAGAGTATCTCGCCCACACGGCAAAGCCTGGCAAGCTCCCCATGATGTTTTCGATATGCCAGACACAGTTACAAGAAGTCTCACAATGGAGATGTTACTGGGTCCGCTCGAGCAAATCGACGAACAACGGAGGACAGTGCTACAGTGCAGTGCTAACACTCTCCGCCATGGAAAAATTGACCTTGCGTAATTGACAGTTGTGGATAATTGAGTTTATGCCCCCACTTGAAAGATAGGCAGTGCTATTAGGAGGCAAGCGTCCAAAGGGGCGGGGAAGAGGAAGAATGAAGGGTGACAGGGTACCTTAAGTCCAAGTTCCTGCCCTATTTCCAACCAGGCAGAATCCCATCCACTTTTGTCCACAGCATCATTGGATTAGACACCATGGGAACGAGACAAGCTCTTCCTTCCCACAGTCAAAGCCCTTCCCCGTCTTACACCCCCAAGCAGCAGAGGCTGCAATGACTCTACTTTGCTTTCTTAGAAGTGAGAAGCTGCGGTGGATATCAGCCTTGGCCATCCCGCGAGAGGACCTGGACCTTCTGGAGTGCTATGGTGAGTGAGGATCTATGTGGGCAAGAAAAATGGCAGATTCAGGAGTCTTGTTTTGGATTTAAGGATTTGGAGGCTGGGGCGGGGGCTGGGGGGCGAAACTAATGTTTTATTTGTTTACTGCTAATGTTTTATTTTGATTTTACCAACTTGATGGTCCTGGGGAAGTAAGAGGAGATAGGGAGATATGTTTTGGGTCCCTTTTTGTCCTAGCTTCCACAGAACCATAAACACACACACACACGCACACACACACACACACACACACACACACACACACACACACACACACATTGTGAATGTGTCAGCTCTCATGCCAACCCTGGATTTCTGGACCTTTTAGAAATTCCATAATTTTTCTCCAGCAAAAATTCCTTAGTTTGGGACCACAGAGATATAGTACAGTGGATAGGGTGCTTGCCTTATCCTTTTCTGGTACCCTCTCTGTTCCCCCAAACTCTGCCAGGAGTGAATCCTGAGTGCAGAGCCAGAAATGAGCCCTGAGCTCTGCTGGGTGTGGCTCACAAAACAAAAACATAACAACAACAAAAATTCCTTCATTTCTGTGCAGAGAGGAAATGAACACAAAGGGTGTTTATTGACGTCAAAGAAGGAACAGATACAAAGAAACCCGAACCAGGAAGCAGGGAAAGCAGGCTGTGGGCTGAGTTGGCTGAGTTTCATCAGCTTGTTTGGTGTGAGATCCGCCTGCTCCCCGGTGCATGAGGAGGGTGGAATAATCCCTCTTGTCACTGAGGTCCTGTGTGTGGTCCAGAGGGATGAAGTAAAAAGAGCCATGTTCAACTTTTGCTTTTTGAGTTTTCCAAGAGGACCTGTACAGAGCAGTAAAGTAGTCATAAATCTACCTAAGATGAAAAGCTTATAGGTCAGGTGTACTCCGAGGCTTATCATCTTGAGCTTCAAACGGTGAACGTTCACAAAATATAGAAATGTAGAAAATTCAGAACATCCTCAAAAATCATCCAAATCGACCCAGTCTCAGTAAAAGAGGAAACAGAAGCTAAAAGGAATCTATGCAAAATCAGTGCATGGCTCACATCACTTGGAACCCTGCATTGTGCTCTGGGCATTGGGCACTGGGTTGAAAATGGAAGAGTGATTCACGGGCACAGATTTTACGATCTCACAATAAAGGCAGAGCCGTTAGATAACAGAGTAATGATGTGGCTGACACAAACATTCCGAAATTGACTTAGCCAATTATTCCGAAACAGATTCAGAATCCAATGAGGACTAAAGAGTTAAACAGGTTTCAGAATGAAGATACATCTTTAGCTGAATCTCACATTTGTAATAATGACTGTAATAATGACTGAGTCTAGGGGACCACAGATATTTCTCAACTCGCCTGGAGAAATAGAAGTTTTGGACTTATTTCAGTCCTGTTGTGTGTATTTCCTCAACAACCATTTTGTGCCCTGTTCTATTCTGTCACCTTCCCAAACTTCCTTCTCTTCCCCTTCCTTCTCTTCCCTACTTTTCCCAACAATGACTGCTCTTCTTCCCTAACATCTCTTCACACTCTTCTCATCCAAAGACTCCCCTCAAGTCCAATGTCTTCGAGCCTACAAGCCCCGGGAGAATGATGAGTTGGCTTTGGAGAAGGCTGACGTGGTGATGGTGACTCAGCAGAGCAGTGATGGTAAGAGGCAGTGTGTGTGTGTGTGTATGTGTGTGTGTGTGTGTGTTGGAAGCAGGGGGCAGGGGGGGTGGGGGGGTGCACTGGCACTATAGCTGGGACTCTCTTGGGGAAATCTGTTGGTTCAGGGCTGCTGGGACAAAGTGTCACACACTGGGGATTCAGACATCACACATTTATTATCTCAGAACTCTGGGAGCCAGTAGGTATAAATCAAGACAGTGTGGGTCTGGCTCCTCTAGAAACCTCTGGAAGCTCCTTTCACTCTCTCCCAAGTCCTGGTAGCCCCAGATGTGTCTTGGCTTATGGCAGTGTGATTTCATTGTCTCTCTGTCTTCATGTGGCCATCATCCTTGTGTCTCTGTGAGGGATGTGTGTGTGTGTGTTGTGTACGTGTGTGCAAATGTCCCTCTTTTTGTAAGGACATGAATTTTATTACATTCATGGCTCCCTTTCCTCAAGGATGACTTCATCTTAGTTTATTATACCTGCAGCAATCCTATTTCCAAATAAGGTCACATTGTGTGGTATTTGAGGTTAGGACTGCAACGTGTATTTTGGGGAAACATCGTTCAACCCAGATATATAGATTTTAAAGACCCAGGAGTAAACAGACAGACCTAGGCAGCTAAGGGTAGTGCTTTGGGAGATTAGATTTCCCGGGCTGGAGACCCTCCCACCCCTTCACCGTGAGGATTTTACAAAGTTTTGGGGAAGGAGATGTAGAGGAAGTCACTATGAGTCTTCCACGGATAACTGTCTCTCTTCTGTACACACAGGTTGGCTGGAAGGCATGAGACTGTCAGATGGGGAGCGAGGTTGGTTCCCTGTACAACAAGTCGAGTTTATTTCCAACCCAGAGGTCTGGGTGCGGAATCTGAAGGAGGCCCAACGAGTTAAGATGGCGAAACTCCAGCTGGTAGAGCAAAAGACCTAGCGGTGGTCTGAGAAGAATCTCATGAGCATCAGAACAAGACGTGCCTGCCGAGACCTGGCCCCAGAGCTCTGCAGTAGAGGCTTCCATGGACCGAGAACCAGACTGTGGAATTCCCCAGGACAGAATCCAGCTGTCCCCCACCTCCTCTTCTGTGCCTTGTGCTTGGTGAGGGGATTTTGAAGCACCTCATGCTGGTCTCTAGGAACTTTTTCTCCTAGGAAAATGGACCCAAGAAGCCAAAGTCAAGGAACTTTACTTCTAGTCCTTAAACAATCTCTGCTTCTAGAGGACAGATTAGGAGCTGACCGGCCTTTCTGTCGTGACCGTGTGGTCAGGAGAACCTGACCTCAGTCCACTGCAGAGGGAAATTTAAGGGCAACCTGCAGATCAGGTAGAAGGGTCAACTTGGTGACCTCGAAGCCATCTTCCAATCCTAGAGACTTTCCGTAATTGTTGGGGTGAGGTCGGTGCCTGTGTCTCTGGGATCTCTTAGGTGGTGACGTGAGAATAATATGCTCTCACTCTAATAAACCTGGCACTTCTTCAAATATTCGCTTCTCATTCTTGTCAGCATAAACTTGGTTTGAAACACCAGATTCCTTGAGGATTTGACTTTGGAGTCATGAAAGATCCAAGAGGAGAAGGACGGTAGGGAAGATAGCTCCAGGTTTCCGAGTGATAACTCCTGAGTGTTTGGGCAAATTTTCTGCTTGTTCTCCCCCCAGTTCCCGCAGAAGGCACTGGGAGGCATTTGATGATGATGAAAGGATCACTCTAACTTATCTTTTTTCCTGTTTCATAAGATAAGGTATTAGCTTAGCTTGAGTGGATTTGTATATCTTATTCATGACTTGATGTTCTGACCTGAATGATCGTGAAATGTTTTTTTTTTTTTCTTTTGGGCTGACATCCAGCTATGCACAGGATTACTTTTGGCTCTGCACTCAGGAATTACTCCTGGCTGTCCTTGGAGGACCATCTGGGATGCTGGGAATTGAACCTGGGTCAGCTGGGTACAAGTCAAACCACCTACTGTGCTGTCGCTCCAATCGTGGAAAGATCTCAGTGGTTTCATTCTCTTTGTGGGCAGTAGTATAAGATAAAGATTCCTGGAATTCAAGCAAAGAGACCAAAGCTGCAGTTCCCATGTTTCTGTGATTCAGTCTGTGTCTTAATTGCCTTTCATGTAAAATGCAGGACTGGACGAAATTACCTCCAAAGTCCTGGTCAGCAATACAGTGTTTGATTCTCTGTCTCCTTTCCCATTTGCAAAGCATTACTACATTTTAATTAACTCATTTTGTCATCTTGAGCCCTCAGATATTCATAGCACAACCATCTTTCCATCATTTTTAGGGGGGCTCAAAAGTAGAATTGCATTGCAACTTTATACAAAGGTAAGGCTCATGCTATCAGTGTTGTCCTATGTCCAATGAATGATTTGAAATGATAGTTTCACTTTTGATAGTTGATTTGGTTTTGAATCCATCCTGAAATATGTGACTTTTCATTGACCTATGAAAGTTGTCACTATAATAAAGATGGGGTTAATATTATTTTATGTGAAACAGACTGGTTGAAACTACCAAAAAATCCAAAATAGGGGCGTCTGAAAGAAGCTCAGTGAAGATCAATCACAATTTTTGCAATACTAGTGTTCTGTTAATATATAAAAATTTATATGCACATATTATGTCAGCTAATTAGTTCTTATTAATAGTTACAACAACAAATCTAATTCAAATTATTTGTCCAAACAAAAATTTGAGTCGTTGCTATATAACTCAAACAAAACCATTTTTAATTTTATATTTTCTAGGTAAATTCTCCCTTATTTTACCAGTGATCAAATATTAGTACTTGAGTGATATGCATGCAAGTAATTTTGTTTTTAGTTGAATGCTTATCTTCTTGTATCCTAAGGCGTCTCAAACAACCTTGAAGCTAAGTTCTGTAAGACTTCTAACTAAATCTGTCTTTAGACATAGCCTGTTCATTTTATTGGGTTTCTCTTGCTCAAGCTGACCAATGAGACATTTGCTTTGTACCTGTCTTTACGTCCTTTGGAATCTTTTTGCTTGTTGTTTTTTCAAATGTGTCTCATTCTTCTTAGATGCCACCTGGTGTTTCTCAGGGGCTACTCCTAGCTCTGTCCTTGAGGGTCCCTCCTTAAGGTACACTGGGAGCCTCTCAGTTTCAGGCATTGCCCCACAGGCAAAACTTCCTTCATTCTGTTGAGCTCTCTCCAGCCCCAAATTCATGGTTTAAAAACCAAGTATCAAGCCCTCAAAAATCCTTACACTGAATAATCTCTTCCGACTTGGATTACCAAAGTTTCTGTATTTTGAGGTCCAGGAAAGTGGGTTTTAATTCACTTACTGTCCTTTCTCCAGAGTTCTGGAATTTAACTCCATTCATTTTTTAATTCTCCTGGGCAGTGTTAAAGGTAAAAGGTAAAGGCCCTCCCGTTGATCATCGATTTGCTCGAGCGGGCCCAGTAACGTCTCCATTGGAGACTTTGTTGTTACTGTGTCTGGCATCTCGAATACGTCACAGGGAGCTTGCAGGCTTTGCCATGAAGGCAAAATACTCTTGGTAGCTTGCCGGGCTCTCCGAGAGGGGCGGAGGAATCGAACTCGGGTCGGCCATGTTGGTTGCATGCAAGGCAAATGCCCTACCCACTGTGCTATGGCTCCAGCCCAGTGTTAGGGAGGAGAATTTTCCCTTCTTTCCTTCTGCATTGTCTTAGAAACCTAGGGCCATTTCTTAGGTGATTGTGAAAACTATCATTAAGCAACACATATGCCTTTGAGGCATATGTGCACGGACAGTATTTTATTTAAGGCAATTGATACATCGATTTGCCTTCTTCCTTCTTCGATACATAGGAGTGGATTCTTGGGGAGCCGTTGACAAAGGTCCCATCTTAAAACCTCCTTAATTGTGAATGCCAGGAGCATCGTGAAATAGCCATCTAGCAACAAAATTCGTTTGTTTCTGGTATTTTTTTTTCTTTTTTGGCTTTTTGGGTCACACCCGGTGATGCACAAGGGTTAAACTACGGACTTTGCACTCAGGAATTACTCTTGGCGGTGCTTGGGGTACCATATGAGATGCTAGGAATCGAACCCGGGTTGGCCGTGTGCAAGGCAAATGCCGTACACTCTGTACTATTGCTCCAGTCCCTCCTTTCTGTTCTAGACATTCGGGTCTGTCGCTCTTGCCTAATCACACAGTTATAAGTTGTTCCTTAAGGTTATTCTCACCAATGTTTTACTTCAAGTTGATCCCGTTCTTAATATCCTCTTGCCCACTCCTTGTCTTGAACAGTATACTGATCTAGTCTCAGCCCCTTCAAGTTAGTTTTAGGCAGGCTCAGAGTTAGAGAGGCATCTATTCTCCCTGCTTTTTCTTCTGTATCTGTGATACCAGATAACTTGGATTTTTGATCAGGCCAGAGAGATAGTACAGCAGAAAAGCCACTTGCCTTGCAAGCAGCCAGCCCAAGTTCAATTCCCTGTACCACATAAGGTTTCCTGAGTGCTTCCAGGAATAATCCTTGAGCACAGGGCCAGAAATAAGCCATGAGGACCACTGGGTGTGCCCCTCCCTCCAAGAAAAAAAAAAGCAAAAAAAAAAAAACCTGTGAAAAACAAAATAAGAATTTTTTCGATCTATAAGAAGTGATTTTTAGTTTTTGGAATAGAGTATTTTTTTAAATCTTTGAAATTCTAAGACCATTATATTCCCTGACTACTTTCACATGTATGTTTATTGCCCTGTAGACCCGGTGTTCCCTGCTCTACCCACAATGATCTGTGTGTTTTTAAGTATTTAAAAAATGAATCAGCCCTAGTCATAACCTCTTGTTAATAAGGCCTCATTTTGTTTCACTTCTTCATAGACACAACTATCCACCCACCAGCAGACTTATGCTAGGCTACCATGGTTTTTTCAAACTCCCTATAAATAACTATCTTCTATCCTGGGCATCTGGCTCTATCACTTGGAGTGACCCTAGAGCCCACACCTGTCAACATCCCTCAACATCTGTATGCCCACAGCTGCCCCTGCTCTGTTGCTTCATAAAATCGAACTCAACTCAGGCGTGTGGGGACCAAAGTGTAGGCGCAAATGAGCTTACAAGAAACGGCTACTACCCCGAGTTGTGATCCTTAGAACATTCTCTGTCCTTCCTTGCCAATGACCCACTTCTTGCCACCCGCCCTTTTGACGTTGGCATGGCTCCAGTGGAAATTTCTCTCGCCTCACGTGGGGTAAGGAGCAGCCGGGTGCTCCGTGAGTCTGCTGATTGACCAGAGAAGACGGTGACCAGATCACGAGGCAGGCTACAGGCACCCAGAAGGTTCGGGAAGCATCGGTGAGTGGAGGGAACTGTTTATTCCTTCTGGGTGGCCTGCAGAGGGCAATGCATGGAGGGAATTGCTGGGCTGGTGTGTGGTGTAAACTCTCCCAGCTTCTCAGGCAGGGAGTGACAGCTGAACCCTCCTGCTTGCAGAGTGAGTCACAGGCCCTAGGGCAGAGCACGCTGCTGGGCGGGCCCTCCTCTGACCCACAAAGTTCCCTGGGAGCACTAAGGGGCAGATTCATATTTTTCCTGGCTCCTTCCTTCAGTAAAGCCATTAGTTGTAAGCGTTGCAGACAGAAATCCAGAAGATGTCACGAACCTTTTGAGTGAGACCGCCTCCACCTCTGCTTGTTGTCCCAAGCTTCCCAGACACGCCCGGGAGTTTAGAATATTCCAGAATATACCATGGGATATGCCGGAGGGCTCTGCAAGGACCCATGGGTCTAGAGTCGGGAGAAAAAGGGGAAAAGAAATGCAGAAGGCAAAACAAGGGGGATGCTCCCAGCCTGGGTGAGGATGTGGTTTTTTTTTTTTGTTTACTTGGGGTGCAGATGAAAAGGAGCACTCACTGCTCGAGTGAAGGAACCTCCCAGACCTGTGTGTCTAACACCCTCCCTTGTCACACGGGAGCTAGGAGACAGACAAGTGGCACAGCCCCGTAGTGAAAATTCACAGCTAGAACTGCCTGCCTTTCACACTGCTGAAAGGCCAAGTGACTTGGCAGGCAGCAAGTGAACAAAAAAACACAGTCAGGCAGGCAGGGGAAGAGCTGTATGTCAGACTGGCAATCACCGTCATCATCATTATTATTATTACTATTGTATTTGGGTAGCACTGTCCCAAATCACTGGAGCGATAGCACAGCGGGTAGGGCGTTTGCCTTGCATGTGGTCGACCCGGGTTTGATTCCTCTGTTCCTCTCGGAGAGCCCGGCAAGCTACCAAGAGTATCCCGCCCGCATGGCAGAGCCTGGTAAGCTCCCCGTGGCGTATTCAATATGACAAAAACAGTAATAACAAGTCTCACAATGGAGAGAGACGTGACTGCTGCCCACTCGAGCAAATCAATGAACAAAGGGAGGACAGTGCTACAGACAGTGCTTGTATTTGGAAGGGGCGTTTG